TTAAATAGGGTATGGTTTTAGCACTCTAGTCTTGAATTGGGTATGTTTCTTAGCAGAAGCTACTTTTTCAATGGTCATAAATAGGGTATCAAATTTTTGGCTAGGTCATAAATAGGGTGGCAAAAATCGCGGATTTTGGTCATAAATAGTGTAAGACTTTTGGGAAGCGGGCCGCACACCCCCACCTAACTTTTCTGGGAGTACCCCTGCCCCCCGGGGGACTGCAGTAGAACTAGCTGCAAGCCGCCCAGTCAACTGGAGCTACTTTTCATCGTTGAATCAACGAAAGTTGTCTCTCTTCCTCTACAGCAACAATTAATCTTTAAAAATGCGCCTCTACTCACTCATATGACAAGAAAAGTTGTAAGTAAATTCAAACGAGTTGGTTTTAAATGTCATGTTTTAACATGAATATCCAACAGAAAGCTTGAGGATCTCCTCGCGCACGTCTCCCGTCAGATCAGAATATCACTGAAGTCAGCAGAAACGCCACATCAAGAAATAGAGAAAAGGATCAAAAGAGTGATGAGGCGTATGCAGGAACTAAAAAGCTCTCAGGAACGTAGATTTAGTGAACTGAGTCAGCATCAGTCACAAAAAATTCAAGAGATCATAGCAAAATTAGCCGCGCACTTCAAATCAGAGGAAACTATCAAAAGTTTTGCGATTGGTCTGAGGATAAAGTACCAGCAACCTCGGCGACATGGCAGGAGACAAAAAGTGAAGCACTAAAGTAGATTTCGGAAAGAACACAACAGTTTGTTCAGCAATGGGAAGATGACCTTGCCCTTCAGCTGCTCGTCTTCACGACCTACTTATAAATATCATAGCATTTCCCTGTTGAGAATCAAGTATAATACAGTTTTCCAGCAAAAACCAAAAGATTGGGGGAGGGGGGGGAGGCATTTGACAGACTGAGATTTCCCCGAATAGGTGGGCATTAGATCCTTTTTGAAGCAGCAAATCCCTAAACCCACCCTTAACCAAAGGGTAGGGGAAAGGGGTTACATTGAAAGTGTATAAGGCCGTTGACAGAGCACTGCAGTTTTTTTTTTTAAACTCGTTCTGCTAATTCTTGTTGTTTTCATTGCTGTTATAATGAAATATCTTCCATCCTGGCCTGATCAGCAGGCCATTGGATACGTCGAGGTATTTTCGTATATGTATGGAAAATACAGGATTTTATAATTTAGTTTCATGTTACGTGTACGGCATAGGTTATATGCACGTAACGTCTTAACCCTTTCACTCCCATGGAAAAACCACTTATTTTGTAAACCGGTAATTATAGACCCAAGGACCACACATAATATACCGTTTGAAAGATACTATTTGTGGGATACCATAAATCACACTAACAGCCATAGAGGAAGCCTCAGTTTGAACTGAAGAGCATTCAAAACGAAAAACGAAAAAGTTTAAAAAATATCTCACTCCTTGTGTAGTTGAGGTATACCCCCTAACTATAGCTTATTGTGCAGCTCTTAATGTATGGGTTATTGTCAGATATCAAATTGACCTTAAGAGCCTAAGAGGAAAAAGTTGCATAATTTTTAGGGGTGGTTACTCAAGTTTCATATAGGAGGGAGGTATGATTTTATGGTTTTAAATGACATACCTTTTTGCTGTTCAAATTTGATAAAATTGACCAAATATTGACCATGTAATGGTATTTTGTGCCACATGGCACTCTTAGGAGTGAGTGGGTTAAATCAAATTTTAAGAAATGGACGAGGTACAACTCCAGGTTTATTGCTGTAACTTCTCTTTTTGCTGAGCTATATGTTTATTTGAATGATTTTCCTCAGACAACTGAGTCATCCTAACATTGTGAAGTTTTATGGAACCAATCTTCAGCATGGTCGAAATGGAACAACAGTGATGATCATCCTGGAGCTATGCAGCTGTTCCCTCAGTTATCACGTAATGTCTCATCCAGAGGAAGTTCCTGCACGATTGCCAAAGGAAGCAGTCATGGAGAAGGTGTTGGGCTGGGCTCTAAATATCTTGGATGCCTTGCGATACATTCATTGTGGACGATTTGCTCACCGAGACTTAAAATTGGATAATATTCTGGTAAGTTCCTACACTGGGTACCAGAGGTTTTTTCTCGCGCGCGGCGGATGGAAATACTTCGCTTCGCTTCGGAGGCCGAAGGCCGCCGGCACAAGCGGCCAAGCCGCGAAAAAAACCTCTGGTACAGAGCGGTTTCATTTACCGTCCTCGTTGAACTTTGATGAATTTTATTGGATTACATTTAAAGCAATCACAACGAGCATCTCCCACTGTGATCTCATGGACTGGTACGTAAAGACATTCGCACGTGAAGACACATTCGCGCGATGACAGGCCGCGTATTCTATGTAAGACGTGCTACCGACGGATCGAGAAGTTCGAAGCGACTGTCAAAGAAGTCGCAAATTTAAACTGAGAATATTACAAAAAGAATTTTATCTGTTGGAGACACGACAAACGGTGGAAATACGCGTTCAAAACGATGTTCCAGCTCGCCTGGTACACCGGGCGTCTGGAGCATTCTGTAGTTCAACACCGAATCCAGGAATTAACCGAACTAACAACGATTTCCCGAATCCCGTTGGCAAAACCGCCAAATCATCCTTGCTGCGACTAAAATTCGCAATTCTATCCCTTTGCTCGGCGTTTTAAAAGTTGTCAACACCGTCTAAGATTTTGAGGTATTTTTGTTGTGGCTTTGACCAGATCTTGATCTTTCACAAATCTTACAGCGCGCGAACAAACATCACACTCAAAATCCGACATCCACGATCATCACGCCACCAAGCGACATTTCACAGGCTAACGTTCCCTATTCTTAGAAACGAATCACCGTGTTTGTTAGATTAGAAAACCCTTGGGAGGTCGTTAGGAGCCAATCAGCTTTCTAGTCCAGATCCTGAACTAACAGATTGAAACTGGCTTGTTATTGGCTCGGTACCGTCAAAGAAATCGCGCTCTGCTCCAGAAGTTTTTCGTGCGGGTCACAATTAGAGACACGACCGACACCGGAAACCGCGCAAGAAAAACTTCTGGCACCTAGGGTAGTTAGTTCCTGTCGGGAACTCAGATTTTTTCTTTCTCTCACGCTCGTGTCATGCTGATCGTGATTAATTCACTTTTCACATTTTGGTAAGTTGTTGAAATAATGATTTCCACAACCACTTCTAACCATTTGGATTAGTTCTCTAATTTAGCAGTTGCGAAAACAGATTACACTACTAACACTCAGAGTATATAACAAGCGAAATCAACCCCTAAGCTTTTTACCAGGTCCTTCCTGCTACCAAAAACGATGACATCAAGAGTTTTGGCATGACAACAAACGCAATGCATCACATCAGTGTGTCTTCCTTGGGGCCAATGCAAGCCGCGTTCCTTTTCTCTGATTGATTTATCGGCTTTAACAAACTCTGATACTTACAGACATTGACAAACAGGTTGGGAAGGAGATTAGACCTGAAACTTTTACTTGAACTTAATACTGCATTAATCGTGTGATTTCTAAAATGTATCTTCTACTGATATATATATAGATAGACAGACAGACAGACAGACAGACAGACAGACAGACAGACAGACAGACAGATAGATAGATAGAT